AAAACCGTGCCACTGCCAAGCTACTCCAACGTTAAGCCAGACTTACTACTGGGACTTGACAACTCATTTCTCGGTGTCGCGCGTAATATCGTGGACGACGGACACAACCAACCAATTGCCGCTGAAACAAATTTGGGATAGGTTGCATACGGACCACTGCAGGGTTCACAGGCCACCACGTCTTGAGTGATGCTACACGTATGAAGCAGCTACACCAGTTGGTGCAAGATTATATCGCAAGTGATACGTTAGTAGTGAGATCACCAGTCAACGCCACCCTGGAATCCGACGACGACAGCCGAGCCAAAAGAATCTTAGCAGAAACCACAAAGTACGATGGATTCCGTTACGAAGTATGTCTTTTGTGGCGGAAAGACGACGTAAAGCTACCAGATAGTTACGACATGGCACAAAAGCGTCTGTTCAACATCGAGTCGCGCTTGAAAAGAGTCATGCAATTCGCCAAAAGCTACAAAAGAGAAATCGAGAAGTATATTAGCAAAGGTTACGCGAGGCATCAAACGTGTCACTCAACAGCGTACTACTCAAGGGGCCAGAGAAGGTTCAATCGCTTATCTTTATACTTTTCAAATTTTTCCAAGGCGTCGTTGCGGTTGCGGGCGACATTGAGGAAATGAAAAAATGGATCAGACTCGAAGACCAAGACTCACAACGTTTTCTGTGGAGAGATGGCGACACCAGCCAACCAATACGAGTTTATATTAAGACGTCAATAATATTCGGCGCTGCCTGTTCTCCGTGTTGCGCAGAATATGTAAAAAATACAAATGCCAGCAAATTCATTTCCCAGCGACCAAAGGGTGTCGATGCCGTTGTCAACAAAACATACGTTGATGGCCTTCTGATCAGTTTCCAAGACGTCAAAGAGGCCGAAAAAACTATAAGGCAGTTGGAATTAATGCCGAAGCTGGTTTCCTGCTTCGAAAGTTTGTGTCGAACCACAAATCTTTGCAAGCAAGACTAAATAGTGAGAACGATATGCAGTTAACAGTTGCCAATATGGAGAAAAGAGCGGCCGCCGACAAGGTACTTGGCATGTATTGGAACACTTCCTCCGATGCCTTCGAGTTTCACTTCAAATTTCTTAAAATACCTGCAGACATTCTGCGTTGCGAACGGCCTCCAACGAAGAGAAAGTTACTAGGTATCGTAACGTCAATCTACGATCCTTTCGGCTTTTTGGCAAACATCACAATTGATGCGAAATTGTTGATTCAGTCGACGTGGAAACAAAACATTACGTGGGATGAACAACTGCCGCATCCGCTAGCCAAGCAATGGAAGGCTTGGTGGACTAAATTTCAATATGTGAACTCATTCGCTGTACCTCGTTTTATTCGAGTATGTTACCAAGTGCCGATAACGTCCAACTGCACATCTTTGTCGACGCTAGTACAGACGCATACGCCGCCATCGCCTATTTACGTGGTAGAAGTAGTGTGAAGAAGAAGTGTGACAGTACAACCTTTTGGAGCGATTCGCAGACCGTAATCATCTGGATACATTCCCACTCCCGAGCGTATAAGCCATTCGTGGCGCATAGGATTGTGGAAATCCTGTCAACAACGACGGCGGAACAGTGGCGCTGGATACCCACAGCGTTAAATGTGGCAGATGATGCCACACGTGCCGTACCGATACCTGAGCCGTCAATAAACACCCGTTGGCTACGTGGACCAGAGTTTCTGTATCAGCAAGAGGGACAATGGTCGCGAGAAATTATGCTGTCATCCGTCGAATGTGCCAACGAGGAACTAACTAGTCGAAAGCTTCTTCTCTGTACCGCAGGTGAGCCGTTAATCAATTTTACTACATTTTCTTCCTTTCTGACGCTAGTTAGAGTCCTGGCCTGGGTATTGCGTTTTGTCAGGGATGCCAGGAGGGAAGTACGCAAAGAAGAACTGCAAGCCGATGAACTGACTGCCGCTGAAAAGTAAATATGCCGCATTGTACAACAACAAGCCTATCAAAACGAGATCGATCTGCTAAGGAAGAAGACTGCCCTGCCAAAGAATAGCTACCTACATCCGCTAGCGCCTTACTTAGACGAAGAAGGTCTACTCCGAGTCTACGGAAGATTAGACGCAGCATACTGTCTACCACTTTCTGCACGCCGCCCGATTATTTTGCCGACAGACAATTATATAATTTCTTTATCCTCGTGCTAGTAGTATAAGGTTAGTGATACTGTGCTCTATAACCAAAGAAACCACGACTATTGTCGCATGTGTAAACGAAAAGAGAGTGTGGGTCGTTCATGTAACAGACTGCGTAAACTTATAAGATTATCTGCTTGATAAAGTTATCGGTTTGGATGAATACCACTGATATATTCCAATTTTTTACTAGCCCATTTTCGAGCTACTTGCAAAGCTACTGGTAATAAAATAACAAAGGCGGTAAAATTTTAAACATACTGAAAGCAATTCCAAAAATTTCAACCCTGCGCAGAAATGGCAACATTCCCATTAAACATTTAGGTTTGAGCTCAACCTGGAATTAAGTAGAGAACTACGGGTTTTCTCAAATCTCCAACGTTGTTTCTCAACAGTACCTCAAGCTGAGGATCATTGCGTTCTCAACAAAAAGGTTTTTTTTTATTGTATGAAGAAATTACTGTTTCTCAAATTTAAAAAATTCTAGTTCTCAACTTGAACTCCAATATAATTTTCCAATTGCTTTCAAACATATCATTGAAATACTGAAATTGAAATAGTAAAATACTATATACCTTTTTGATGTATGCCACATAGAGGAATTTTAATATTAATTTTTCCTTTTGTATTGTGTAGTTAATCACTATCGTATTACAATACCTCACTTTACAGTAAAAAGTCCAACAGTAATTTTACCACTTGATTCACTTCGCGTTTTATTTTCTTTCAAGATTATTTATACTTTGAAGATTATTACTTTTTGTTGGTGATTTTCCTCTTTATATAGCTTTAGTTTTTTTCTTCATAATTAAAAGTTCGTTTCTCCATCGCTTTTTACGTATCTGCGCGTCGGTTAGAGATCAGTTGGAGAATAATGTTGGATATCAACTTGAGAACTATGAATTTCTCCAAGGTTGGAGAAATATTTTTTTTGGTGTTTATTGGGGATACCCAATTGGAGATTTGAAAAAAACCTTAAGGCCGGTCCACATGGAACTTTCGCGTTGGCTTAGGCATTGGCGTTGGTTTGACAGAACGCACGTTAAAAATATGCTTGCTACAATGAACGCTTGGTAGTGAATGCTTGGGCCACTAAATTAACATAACGACAGATAAATTAATATTTCATGTCAATAATTGCATTAAAAACGAGATTTCTTGCCCGCACTTGATTAAAAAGAAAAATATTTCACATAATGTTATTTATTCGCAACAGCTGACGAGCGACGCGCGCGAAAAGTTGAGAGTTGGCCATCTTTTTGCTTTGTGTTGGTGTGAGCGTTGTCGAATTTTGGCTATGTGGACGGCTGCATTTGAATTCATGTATTCATAGTCAGCTTTTGAAGCGACGCCAACGCTAACGCGACGCCAAAGTTCTATGTGGACGGCATGAACGAAAGACACAAGATCACGTAAGAACAAGAGAGTGAGAAAAGTCGATTTTTTAGCGGATTCTACGCCATCTTGTTTCACTGGAAAACGCGCGAAAAGTAAACCAAGCAAAGAAAACAACGAAAACCAAAATTAGCCAAAATTATTCACCCCTATTGCGAATGTCGACTGGCAGTAGATAAACGACAATTAAGCGATTATCGATTATCGATGCTATTGCGAGTGTCGCTTAGTC